AGAGAGAGAGAGAGAGAGAGAGAGAGAGAGAGAGAGAGAGAGAGTCGGGGAATGAATGGCTGTATCCCAGGTGACCATCAGGAAGGTGACGGCATGGAAAGAATGTTGATGATGATGGCAATGATCACGATGCTGCTGCTTATTACTTCGTCTGCCAATGTTTGTAACAGCTGTGGTTAGTGTGGTGATGATGCAGATGGATACTTAGCACATATGCACGCTAGAACTTTCCTTGACGTATCTGACAGCAATTATGGCCCACCCTGGATGAATCTGACCACAGTCACATCCAGAGCTTAAAAGTCCTAGTGTGCCTATGCCCTAAGTTTATGCAGATGCCGATGAGGGAACATGGGTTAAGTTGTTACCAGAGTTAGTTTGTTGAGTTAATTGTGGGAAGGATCAGTCTATCTGACCTGTGCAAAAAGGTTCCCGACAAGGAGATTTGTTTCAAGTATCGCAGTTGACCCCTTGATACCTTTGATGAAAGCTGCAATGTAGTCGAGGCTCCTGAAATTCAACGCCCTGTTGAGATCGAATCCTTGGTATATCATTCTTTCTGACACCTCCAAGCTCACTGCTGCAAAATCCATTAGGGCAACCTGAAGGGTTGTAAGGGCTGTGATGCATCGCGAACCCCTAGGTGCGAGGAGAACATGGAAAGGATCTGCCCTGTAAGCCACATCTAGACATGAAAGCTGACCACCCTCAATGATCAGGGCACCTCTGTTGAGGGTCCTGCGAGTGAATGTGAAAATGCCATATTCTCCGGTGGTAGTCTGTGGCTCGTTCCAGTTGCACCGTCGATCGCCGTTCAGATCAATGCATACAGAACAATTCACTAAGTACGAACCATCCAAAGCAACTCCTGCAAGATTGGGAAGATATTCAAGGAGCAAGATTAATATTTATTGGCGTCGAGAGGTCAACCTTGAGTCAATGATAACTAGATTAGCGCCCGCAGTGCGGGCGGTGCCGGCTATGCCCGCGTAAAAAAAGCACTGTACAGATCAGTCACGATATTCACACAGACTCAAATGGACTTTTTTTCCTGGGTGGCCCGGCCGTTCAAGGACTGCCGGGCTGCCCGGGTCACCCTTTTTTCCCTGGTGGCCCGGCCGTGCAAGGACTAGGGAAGTTTCCTGCAAAAAACAAAACAAAACAAAACAAAACAAAACATCCGAAAAAAAACTATGTTATGCAGACAAATAAAATGAACAACTTTTATTGGCCGGGCCGGGCAAGTGTTCCCGGGTCATTAAGGTAGCCTTTTTTTTTTTTTTTTTTTTTTT